CATGTGCACGCACAGGGAAGAGAGACTTAGGCAGCCATAATCTCCTCCCTCCAGACTTCTAGCCTGCCAGAATCCTGGTCATGCATTTACATGCTGGTTGTTTTTAGGCCTACTGGGTCATAGACTCAAACCATGGTCAGCATGTGGCTTCCACCTCCACAGTCCAGTATGCCACCAACTACACCACAGAAACTGCACCTTTTTCATCTCTTAATCATCCCTTCTTCTGATTACAGTCTATAAAGGTGAACAGGGACAGATTATCAGAAAAATCATGACACAGTTTTGCATAGAAAAATAATCATGGCTTTTCCGATGATCCAACAGGTATTGAGTTTCTTGAGTTTTGTGGAGCTAAACTGATGTTCAGAAACTATAGTTAATTGACAAAGTTCAGAAACCAAAAACAACAGAATTAGGATCAGACTTATATGCAGTATTGTTTCTTTTTCACATCACCTAAACAGAGAAATCAAGATTTTTTTGTACCATGGGGATCTAACGTGGTATATGCACTTATTTCAAGTGTCTATTAATCTAGTCATTAAAGGCTAAAAATATTGCTGTGAAAGTACTACACATAATAGGGTAGGTATGGACTACCCTATGAAATATATACTTATAGATTTTCAATCACATTATTCCCTAATATTAGCTTACCAGTTAGTCTAGTTGAGCTTTGCCATTATTTAGGATAAAAATTGATTAAAAGATTTCAATAATTTCCATAGTAATAATAATGGTAATTTTATAAAAGTTAAAAATATTAGTTTCATAGAAATATTTAAAGTACAATTTGCTCTGCTTGCTAAATATTTTTCTTCTGAATTGAATAAGGTATATGGGGGCCAGCAGTTAGCGTAATGGCTATATCACTGGACTCCCATGTAGTCAACTACAGTTCAAGTCCCAAACCCGGTAGCTTAAATTCATGCCAGGTGCATCTGTGTATGTACCCAAAATCCCGAGAGGAGAACGGAAGAGAAGGAATTGTAGTGTGGCCATCCCACCTAGGGTGTGATTTCTCGCTTTCTGTTTCTCTGTCTCTCGCTGTCTTTCTGGTGAGCACATGCATCCTATAGCAAAAACCTCTCCAAAAAAAAAAAAAAAAAAAGGAATAAGGTATATGTTTAAAGAGTTTAATGGTTCTTAGAAAATACCAAATGGCAGCTGAAAATAATTAATTTCTCATAACTCTGCCCGTTCTCTAAAACAAAAACAAGACAAAGAGCTTGATTTGGAAATCCTGAAAATGACACTAGTTTTAAAAATGAAACATTAGTGGGACCAGCAGTTGGTGTAATGGCTATGTTGCTAGACTCCCATGTAGTCGACTGTGGTTTGAGTCCCCGACCCGGTGGCTTAAACTCACGCTGGGTGCGTTTGCGTGCGTGCCCAAGATCCCGAGAGAAGAGGGGAAGAGAAGGGATTGTGACATGGTCATCCTCCCTGGGGGGTGATTTCTCACTTTCTGTCTCTCCCTCTCTCTCTGTCTTTCTGGAGAGCGCACGTGCCCTATAGCAAAACCTCTCAAAAAAAAGAAAAAGGAACATTAGCTAGCCCTGTCAATAGCCAAACTTCCCAGTGAACTACTTCCAGTTTTTCCCAAGAGGACAATGGAAAGGAAAATATTGCACTGGGGCCATCACCCCTTGGGAGTGATTTCTACTTCCCTTCTCTCTCTCTGGTGCACACATATACCTTATAGCAAAACTAAACAAACAAACAAACTCTAGGTTACTTAATTAAAAGTGCCCAATGGGCACAGATAAATTCATTAACATGAAGAATATATTATTTTACACAATACCTGTAGTGATAAAGGAAAGATCTATTTCATTAAAATCGTAAATGTGTGCTACATGGTAACATTGTTCTGCTAAGTGTTTGGTGTGAGCCTAATGGGAGGGATTAGAATGAAGGCACTAACCATATTCACTCCTTCATAAGCTACAAGACCTGGATAAATCACAAAGCCTCTACTATGCCCCCGATTCCAAATGGATAAAGGAAGGATGATTTCCAGACTCTGCTTAGTTGTGATATTAAGAAATTCCAGGCCCAGCCTGATGGCACAGTCAGTGACGTATTGCACTACGATGCTGGAAGCCACAGGACCAACCGTGGGGTTGGACCCCAGCATCTGCCTAAAAGCGGGCTGAGTGAGCTTGCCCAAGGTTCTGAGGAGGTGGAAGGCTGGAGAAAGGAGACTGCGGCATGACCAGACCCTGCTGAGGGTGCACATGTGCCCTCATGAATTAAAAAAAAAAACCAAAAAAACTAAATGTTTGAAATTCAAACCATTTTAAATCTTCACATCCTGTGGTTCCCACTATCAACTACAAAATGTACAAGGAAGGACCAAAAGTCAAACAAACCAAGCAACTACTTGCAGCATATAGTCAGGGACAAACTATCGAGATATGCTAAATCTGATAAGTCTAGTGAGGCCAAATTTTCATTTTTCTATTAACTAACTACCACCGGAAAAGTTGGCTCTCCTTAGCAATGGTGAATCAAGGAACTGTCCTACTCTGGCTAACACTTCCACAATCAACATGTCTAAACTGCACTAAGTCCATGAAAAGAAAAACGTTATCCACAGAGAGCCTGGCAGAGCTGCTTTCCGTGACTTGACACAGTTTCTGTCTTTCTAACCTCATACATAACCTGCTGGCACAAACTGTAAACTGCAAACCAGAGCAATAGAAGATGGACCTTCAAACTGAAGCTTATCTAGGTTCTAGATGAAGAGTTTCACTCTAAAATATGAGGTGAGTTACAAAGAAAACAGAATGTTGATAAACAGAATAAGGCCTGAAAGTCATCCTACAGAAGATAAAAATCACATAAAATATTTTAGTCCACACAAGACCTTTTATAGAGCAACTCCAAGCACTTGATGGAAATTGTCCAATCAAGTTTTGTGGCACTGCTGGAGAGAGTCAAGTGTTACCCAATTTTTTTCCAAAGAGGGCAAAAAAGAAACTAAAATTATTCACATTGCCAAGGACATAGCTTCCCATTCCACATCCAGTGTTGTAACTTATGAAAAAAGGTATTCAGCCCCACAATAAATAATATTAACTGAAATGCCTCTGCTTTTCAAAAAATGTTTAATTTTCCCCAGATTTGAGTGCAGTACTAGAACAGCATTAATCCTCATTTTTTAGTTCACTATCTGCAACACTGTAGGTATCCATGTATTTGTTCAATGAATAAAGGCTATTAATATTAGGTAACACTTACTAAAGCTCATATATCAGGTACTGAATTGAGAATTATGCTAAGTAATTACATACACTATTTCATTTAATCCTATCAATAATTCAATGAGGTAGGTACATTATTATCCTTATTTTACTGATAAGGAAACTAAAGCATAGGTTAAGTAAATTGTCCAAGATTACAAAATGATAACGTAAGGATTCTTCTTTTAATGAGTGAGATAGAGAGAGACAGAGAGAGAGAATATGCCTGTATATGAACACATGCAGGAGGAGGGAGAGTGAGAGAGAGCAATAGGCATTTTTGACAGGAATCAACCATTGTGTTCCTCTGTCCCAGCCTCCCAGTGAGCTAGGATTACAGGCACCTGCCACCATATCAGCCTGTTTGGGTTGGCCTGAGATCTGAATCTGAGCTTCTCACATGGTCCCTGCCACGCACAGTGGTACCTTACTCCTGCTCATGGTGGTGGAATCTGTAGCCAGATTAAAATGAAGGCAGCCCAACTGTAGATCTTATGTACAGATCATCACTGTGGAAAGAATGCCTATAGCATGGTAGTTGAGGTGGCTGGATGTCACATTGCTTATAGTGCAGCTTGAGTCCTGGACCCAACAGCTTGAGAAACACACTGGGGTGTGTGTGTGTGCATGCTCAAAAATCTCGAAAGAAGAAAAGAAGGACAGGATGGCAGCATGACCATTCCCCGAGGGAAGGCGGTAATTTCCCACACCCTGCAAGCAACATGAGCTAGCAAATTAAGGGAAGAAAATAAAGACCAGGACTAGACTAGCAGTAAGAAACTATTGATATGCTAGCTCCTCTATTACCACTCCTTTGGAGAGAAGGGAAATTTCTTACTGAACTTTTTTCTCCATATAATGACTAGCAATATTACCTTCATCACATTATTCTTTATCAAGTGTTTCCTAAATAAACAGAAACAAATTAGGATTTGTTGTCCTCAACTGTAAGATGAAAGTAAAATTACCTCTAGTCTACCTCAGTGATTTTAAAACACTAGAAATTTTGTCAAAATGCAAATTCTCAGGCCCCAACCCAGACCTAATAAGTCAGAAACAGGTTTTAACAAAACTTTTGGATGATTCTAATACATGCTAATGTTTAAGAACCACTTTATACAATAGTCCTGAGAATCAAAGGTGTTCAATAATGTGAAAGCACCCAAAATGGAAAAAAATGTATCACTATTAATACTAAGAGATTAAATTATGCTCTTTGAAAAATAGTGAGGCTAGCAGGTGGTGTGGTGGTTAAGGGCATTGGACTCCCACATGGCCAATGAAGGTTCAAGTCCTGGACCTGTAAGCTTGCTTTCTTTCTCTCTCTTTCTCTTTCTCTCTCTGTCTGTCTCTCTCTGTCTCTTTCTGTCTCTGTCTCTCTCTCTCTTGCTCAGGAGAGTGGGGTGTAGTCACACCACAATCCTGTCTTCATTTCTCCATCCTGCTGGGATTCCAGGCACACACACGCACATGCTGAGCATATCTTTCAAGACATAAGGGCCAGTATTCAAACAACACTCAGCAAGATGGGATTGGGCTCCCTTAACTACTAGACCATGGGGCCAGCCCATAAAATACTTTTTAAATAAAATATTGTTTTTCTATATTTTTTCTAAATGACATATTGCATTAATAAGTTCAGACAGCAAGAGGACTGTGATCCATAAAACTGTACTGAGAAAGCTAATAACTTGGTCAAGCAGTGATTCAGTCTGGGGATCAGTCTGACAAATCGCACAGGGTCCTTACCTGACCAGTGTCCAGTGGAGATGCCAGATCTGTCTGTACATGTCTCACTTACAGGTCTAAACACAGTCTCCCACCCACCAGTTGCATAGCGCCAATTCTGAGATTCCAAGATGAGTGTTCGCTGGGTGCCATATGCAATCATAAAGCAGTAGACCACATGATGGAGTTGACAGCCATAGCCACAGCCTTTGTTAATATTACACACCAACTTCTTAGCTTTGCTGCAGTCCTTGGGATTCTGTCAGGGAGAAAGAGAGACAAAGGTAAAGATGGGCTCTACAAAATGGTCAACTTCTCTTTAGAGGTGACAAGTATCAACATTTATAAAATAAACTAGGACTGATCCAAGATGTTTCTTATAAAGTATTATAAGAATCTAGCTTTAAGAAATGTATCTCAAAGAATCCAGTGAAAATTTTATGTGCATCTGGAGGGAAATTACAGTGAAAAAGAATAGTTACTCTGGAAATTTTACTAAACACATGTGTACTTAAGCAATTATACTTTTAAAATACTCTTTCACTTCTCTATCGTTCAAAACATGCAACTGTGATCATTTCTAAATTCAAAGTTACATGCATCGAGACCTTTATGACAAAAGTAAAATAGTTCTTTTATTTCAGCAGCACTTCAGCATTCTGAGTTTACCTTCTGTGATAAAACTCAAATTATCTTAAAGGAAAATCTATAATTTATCCATTAATGCCATCTATCTTCAGAGCTCTACATATTACAAACAAGATCTACTTTTATAATTATTAAGTAAAAGCCATTGAGTAAACAGATACTGAATTTAACAATTACAAACTTTTTTTGGGGGGGAGGTTTTTGCTATAGGGTGCATGTGCTCACCAGAAAGACAGAAAGAGACAGAGAGACAGAAAGCAAGAAATCACCCCCCAGGGGGGATGGCCACACCGCAATCCCTTCTCTTCCATTCTCTTCTCGGGATCTTGGGCACACATACATACACGCCTGGCATGAGTTTAAGCCACCGGGTCTGGGACTTGACCTGCAGTTGGCTACGTGGGATTGGAGTGACATAGCCATTATCCCATCTGCTGGTCCAAAGAATGTATGAAGTACCTGGGAGGTCCCCCTTCCCCCCAAAGGGGTTGTGCACTTGCCTGAGAGAGACAGAGAGACATAGAGAGAGAGAGAAGGTAAGTAATCACCCCCCAAAGGGGATGGCCACACCACAATGCCTTCTCGCTTCTCCTCTCAAGAGTTTGGACATATAGCTACACACATCCAGTGTGATTTTTAAGCCACCAGGTCTGGGACTCAAACTGTGGCCCGCCATGTGGGAATCCCAGTGGCTGAACCATCATGCCACCTGCTGGTCCCTGGTTTTTATTTTAAAAATAAAATAGCTATCAGCAATTTTCACAACCGAGCAACTATGTTCTTTAGTGGCTATCTTGAGAACATATAATGCCAATTTTCAATCAGGAGATGCATTTTTCTAATTGTACACTTTGCTGTAAGACAGCTAAGCAAATAGTTAGCTAATATGAAAATTTATTTTTTCTATCCTAAAGTTCCAAGTCTACTCTAAAGCATATGTGCCATTACTAAACATCCCTAGGCATCTTAGTTCTTCATTTATCAATCTACTATGACAGAAACTTTAGTCTGAGAAATTTTCCAAGCTAGTTTGCCTGGAAGGGAAGAGATGACAGGTGCCTCGAGGAACAGAATCTTCTTCCCCATCTAGCAAGAAGGTAACTAGTTCTCGATGTACATGATCTTTGAGTAAACTAATCACCAAACTCTAAATCTAAAACAATTCTATAGCAATGTCATCTGTTCTGTCAAGTTGAGTCCCAGAAACAAAAGCTAAGAACGGTAAGGCTATGAGATGATCCTGAAGGAAAAGTGAAGAAGGGAAACTATAATACAATTACCTTTAGAAGAGGTACCTTTCATATTCAAATATGTCACAGCAAGCTGGTCTTTTTTAGATCAAAGCAGTATCAGTAACATCAAGAATCTTAGGAAGAGTTACAACCCTTATGAATACGAAAGAGTTCTGATGAAATTCAGCAGTGGTCAATATTGTATCTATAATCAAGTACTAAAGTTGCTGATTCTTTTCATCTAAGATAATCAACTCAGGGTAGAATTAATGAAGCAATAACTATTTCTACCCTCCTCACTATAACCACGAAAGAGCTGAGAGGAACAGAGAAGTGTGATGTCATGCAGGAATAGCAGATCTACATGCTTTCGGCTCTGTACAAGACTATAGAAGAACCCTGGGAATAAATAACATCCTCGAACTGATCCTAAGCTTTATTGCTAAGTAGTTTAGCAAGATAGTAGATAAATAACATTAACGTTTATCAGGGTTTTTTTCAGGATTAGTGAGAAATATAGCACTTGAATATCTCTAACGTTCATGTGAATTTTAAAAAGTCCTTCATATATTTTTAGATAATTTTTTTTCTTTTAGAACAGTTTTTAGATGTACCGAATCATCACACAGTATAGAGAGCGCCCATAAACGCCATACCCAGTTTCTACTTTTTTAAATATTTTATATTAGTCTTCAAAATTTTTTCTAGAAAAAGAGTAAGGGAACATAATAAATGAAACACTGGGCTCAGCCACAGTGGTACAGTGATAACACAACGCTCCGCTGCTGGAAGCTCTAAGAATGACTGGGACTTGGCTCCCAGCTCAGCCCGTACATTCCAGATGTACACGTGTGTGCCCGTGTTCCTTGCTGAGTGGCTAGGGACAGGACTGCAGCATGAGGCCCTGTTGACAGTGCTTGCCTTTGTCCATCTCTCTCTCCTTCTCTCATTCTGTGTCTTATGAAAAAATAATGAATAAATATACTTTAAAAAAAGTAGAAACATCTGACTTTTAGTTTGAAAAGTATAGCTCTTTCTTAAGAAATTAAAACCCAGGGGCAAGAAGCTGACATAGAGGTTAAGGTGCTGCCCCCCCCCACACACACACACATACACACATGTCTAATCAAGGGTTGAGTCCCAGAACCAGCAGCTTGAAAATCACCCTAGGTGCAGGTGCATGTGTGCCCAAAATCTCAAGAGGAGAATGCAGAAGGGACTGTGGTGTGGCTGTCCCTTCTCTTTCATTCCCTTTTGATGATTTCTCACTCCCCCCCTCCCCTCTGGTGAGTGCACATACCCTAGAGCAAAAAGAAATAAAAAGTCTGGAAAATGCAAAGGATCTTGTCCATAAAAGATTTAGTAAAAGGCAGAGCACAGTGAGAAATAGAAAAGGTATCCATGTGCCTACAGAAGATTAGTTTCATTAGAATAAATACCTAGAGAAAACAGTAGATATTTCTTTATTATTATTATTATTATTATTATTTTTAGAGACTCTTGCTATAGGGCACATGCACTCGCTAGAGAGACAGAGAAAGACAAAGAGACAGAAAGCAAGAAATCACCCCCTGCATGGGGGATGGTCATGCCACAATCCCTTTTCCTTTATTCTTCTCTTGGGATTTTGGGCACACACACACACACACACACACCCAGCCTGAGTTTCAAATTACCATGTCCAGGATGCGGACAGCGGTCGGCCATGAAGGAGTCCAGCAACATAACTGTTATGCCATCTGCTGGTTCCAAAAGTAGATATTTCTAAAGTAAATAGAGGATTTTTTTTTCTTTTTTTTAAACAAAGCAATGAGTCTGAGATGGACAGGGATTTATTCTGATCAAAGAAACCTTATAGAAAGTCCCTAATCTGAGCTAAATCTTTGTTATCTACCATTGTTACAGAGTAGTATATGTAACAAAATACAGAATTCTTTTTTTTTTTTTGGAGAGGTTTTCGCTATAGGACACGTGCACTTGCCAGACAGAGAGAGACAGAGAGACAGAAAGCGAGAAATCACCCCCCAGGGGGGATGGTCACATAGCAATCCCTTCTCCTCCATTCTCCTCTCGGGATCTTGGGCACGCACGCACACGCGCCCGGCGTGAGTTTTAAGCCACTGGGTCCGGGATGCGAACCGCAGTCAACTACGTGGGAGTCCAGCGACATAGCCATTACGCTAACTGCTGGTTCCCACAAAATACAGAATTCTTTAAGGGAGAAGCAGAGACATCATGTACTGTCTTCAAATTTCTTACTCAATAATCTTTGTCAGTCACACCGATTCTAGTTTTATACTATCCACTAGATATTTGCGAAAAGCTTGACGGTGTGCCTCTTCCATGAGCAAAAATATATAGAAGGGCCTCATTACTACAAGAAACTTTAATCATGTGAACACTTTAACAGGAGAGTTCTTTCTTCTCTTTTTAAGGTTATTTCTTTTTCATGAGAGAGAGAGACAGACAGACAGGAGCACTCTCAACAGGGTCTCATGCTGTAATGCCTTTCTCCAGTCTTCTCAGCCAGTCAGGATCACAGGTGTGATCTGGGAACAAAACAAGTAACTTTTCATATAGATCGAGCATTTCCTGGGCAGTCTGTTATACTGTGCCACCTAGCCAGCCCTAGGATAGTGATTTTTGATGATAATTTTTTTTTCAATTGCCTTGAGTGTGCCTAATGTACTCCTTCCATGTGTATTACTATTAGTCATACAAGAATGCAAGCATATTTTTTCTTTTATATTGTGATTCCTATCAATCTCTTCCTCCCTCTCCCCTCTCCCTCACCACCCATCACACACACACACACCATACTTATGATATGCTGCACTCCAGTAGGAGGAGGCTCATTAGGAAGTACTTCTTATTTGGGAATGAAACACGAGGAACACAACTGAAAATACCCCATGACCCCCTGCGAAGTCAGGGGGGGGATTCATTCACGTCTCCTTCTGCCTTGAGTGTCACACTCTCTGGCAAAGTACAGGTGAACTTTTGTTCATTCAGGAAATAATTATTAACCACATAATAATTCAATAAACCCTGGGAGACCATATCCAACAGAAAAAGAAATCATATAGTACTATTTTACTAACCATATATACAATTTTAGTAGTAGATAAGGTAAATGTTCTAAGACTTACTAAATAAGGGATTCAGAAAGAGAGAGGAAATATCACTTTCAGCAAGATTAGAAGGATTCTGAATAAAATTGCATTTAAGCTAAATCACAAGAGATATAATTAATTGTTAATAGTTAAACTATGAACTCCTTAAATTACGCTTATGTGGTGTTTCTGTATATGGTTGGGGTCTTCTAAAGTAGACTAATAAACAGGCAGATCTTTTCTAACTCTTTGGAATAATTATTAGT